TACTCTAAGATCTGGAACAGTTTACCCCTAGAAATAAGGACCTGTCACTCTATTATAACCTTCAAACGCTTGCTATATAAACTGCTTCATCCCAATGACTATGCCAATCACACCGCACCACTTATTTCCAAAACGCATGAGCTATTAGAACACTATAACGCCTAGACTCATTATTAAATATTACGACACTAAATAAACTCTAAGACTTCGCAAAATTACATGAAAAACAACTAGATTATGGGTAGTGTTTACTATACAATGATATACATTTATAAACATTTATATGTACATAAAATAATAATGTTCTTTCCATATTTACATACTTTATCTCCCTGCTGAGCGTAATCTTCTATATACCTCCTGGTCGAGGTCGAACAACCCAACATCTAAACTGAAATGACCATTTATGTAAATTCAAACTCAAATTGATATAAGAATAAAACTTGGGCACTGTGGTAGAATGTAATTCCATTATGGGTAAATTTTATTTTGATAGAGTCTCACAGTGTTATACAGTAATATTTACTGATGACGTTTCGAGCACAAACTATTGCTCATAATCAAACTCAAATTCCATGAACGATCTGATGCAACCACTTGAGAACGCTGGCTAACATTCTGTACAAGGAGTATTCTTGATCTGATATAAAGAAACAACTGGTTTTCAAGCAGTTTTCCATGAATTACTCAACTTACATGTACAGTCTGCCATGCTGACGCAAATGGCGCAAATGGGTAGTTCTAGAATTGACCCCATTTGATGCAGTAAAACAATCTAACATTACCTTATCTAATTTTCGTATCAAAGATCAAATTTCTTTCTTATTATAAAACTACGATAAGACTGCTGACAAAAATGGAATAAATACATTATTGACTCAAAATTATACATCAATAAACTTTATCTCACGGATGCTGTTCACAACAAAGTTTTATAGGAGAATTGACTTCAAGCTTTATTTTTCCCAGATATTTGTATTACATTCATTTGAAGTCTGGGTTTTTTGTTAATGCGAAGACAATATTTCTATATCTCTTTATGTGTTAAACAGACAGACTATTTTGCAGACTGTTCTGACTGACTCTAATGTTAGATTGAACAAACAAACTGTAATTTATATAATAACTTATCCATGCCTGTACAATTGGTATGTTCCTGCATAAACAGGAATAAATATATATATATCTCATGGTATGTCTACGAAGACCAATAAACTGCAGTCAGGGAGACAAAACTGAAATAACTAGGAGATACATTCTAAAGCATGAGATAAGTACTCAAGATAGGAGTACTTCAGGGATAACAAAAGGTCACTCATATCATTCACTTCGATTCGAACTGTTTCTTATGTTCCTGTTGCTTACTCCTAGTTCGCTATTTCTTCTTCAATGCACTTCATTTGGACAATTTATGGAGTTGGTGAAATGCGCATAGCACTCAGGAAACAGCTTTAATGAGTGTTTACATCAATTAACATCGCAGTGAGATGTGCCAATAGGCAGCTGAGACGAAAGATGCTGACTGACTGCGTCTCAACATAGAACTTAGTAAAGAAGTGCAGTAGTTCAATTTGTTACTCTCCATGTAGCTCACAAAGGTAGCGAAAAGGTAGGAAAAATAAATTAAGCGGGACCACAATGGGCAGATATGTGAGGGAGAAGGAATAGTAGTCAGGATAAACATGGGGGTTAAATTGATGTGGAACGTCACAAAGAGTGAACTCAACTGTACACTCAATAATTGTTTAGACTAGCTGTTAATGATTTGATGGACCAATGCTAGGTATTGATTAGGCCAGTCTAATCAAAAGTCTGCCAGCATTTCACATTGAGGAAGGCTGTGGCCAGGCATGTGCAGTATATGTCCGAGATACTCCAATCGATTTAGCTTCCCTACTTCACCAACTGATTTACCCTCCTTACTTAATGCTATGCATTTAACTTCAGTATTTATCACTATATTATACCAGTCAAAGCAGGAGATGCAGCATAGACATTTACAATCGAACATAGGTGGCATTTTTATATCTTCCACCTTCAGTGGCCACGTCTTATCGCCTAGGAGGATGACATCATCAGCATACTCTAAGTTGATGAGGTCGTCCCCTTATAAGCCAACAAAGCCAATTACAAACAATTTCATTACTACATGTATGATGAAATTAAACTGAAATAAGGACAACTGCAGGAAAGAAGCCTCATATTAAGTCCGTCTTGAAAATAAGGACAACTTATAGTTTAGTTTCCATCATAAATGAATAGGATTTATTAAATTTATATACTCACGTATAACTTTTCAAAAGCCATAGTTAATGTTATCTCAATAAAGTGGGAAATGGATACTGTGGTTGTGTAAATGCCATAAGTGCTGAACTGTTAACAGCACAAATAACAACAATTCTTGGAATTATGCTTCATACTTTTGGCTTGATTACAACATTGAGTAAATGTTGAATGAACACCTGACAGACATCACACCCATGCAGGAAGTGCCTGAGATTTAATGAAATTTGTGTGCTTTCACTATTAAGTCTCCATGTCAAATGCATTACTACACAGGTCTCTACATTTTCTTCAAAACTTAACTAATATATAGCTTAACTAAAAACCCATTCATCCCCACTGTACTTCATATAGAGAATCTTCAAGAGTAATTCATGTGCGCTGTTAACTTTCTTATACTGAAGGAGGAACGAGGCATTCGTAATCATATACTTGATATGAAGTAAAGTACAATTTAATGTATGGTGGTATTGATACGCATGAACTGAGGAATAAAGTCCTCGACAACTTCCAAACAAAATGTTGTCGTCACGACTAAGATAATCTCTTTTCACATAATAGCCTAAGTTATGTTAAAGGAATAGGAATCATGCAGAAGTTAAATCCTCCCCTAAAAGAGCTGTTTGAAATGCAGCTTCATTATAATGCTACAGTGTGACCATAGTGCTAATGCTTAAAACGAAAGACAGACTATGCTTAACATATGAGAATAAACATTAATGCTGAAATTACGCGACGAATGCTTACAGCCACCAGAACAGTAAAGATAATATCATTTTATTAAATACAAATACGTTTAACTTTTGAACTCACTGCCTCCTTTTTTCTGTTACATTGTACAGGCATCAGGATCAAGCGATATTTTCCAACGCAAAGTGCAGCAAATGTAGCACAGTTCAAGTATATTATACCACCAATATTGTGTTCGTCAGAGAAACTTTTTAATGAAAAATTTCATCCAAGAAGTATGTTAAAAATATGACTTATCATTAAATCATCGTAACAGTGGATAACAACGCTACAATTAATAGACATATGCAATAAAGCCACTCCTGTCCATCAGCATCTCGATACCACTAACCTGTATGCTTTCATCGGATTGGCTTCAAATAGCTTCCAGAAAGTTGTGACCTACTTATAACAAGTAACATCATGGATAACACACTTGACTCAGCGGTGTTGTTGTCACTGTGCAGTTGCTAGCAGGAAGCGCGATGATGTAAAATGGCAGGCATTGAATGATTAAATACAACATGAATCACATCAGGCTCACTATTTCTAGGGAAGCAGCTAGTTAGGCTTCTTGTACAGTTTCGACATCGCTTCCAGTTGTTTTCGACTAGAAAAACGCTCATGACTGATGTGCAGCCATCTGTCCTGCCACACCTGAGCTCTGACAATATTGCCTGCTGATTCTTTAATCTGATGGCAAGGCTAACCATAACACCGCCCTCGGTAGCGAAGGGAGAATTTAACAGTTATAACAACTGAAAGCCGTATTTACTGACGACGATTTGAAGAGAGAGTAGAGACACAACACAACCACAACGAAGTTATCGATTTCTTGTCCCTAGAATATCCATCTGATGACCATCTTTTCCATTCCACACAGACAAACAACGCATGCATTGGAACAAGACCCATTGAAGCTCATCTGGAATCGAAAGTAAGATGACACCGTGGACATAGTGATAATGGTGGTTCCTAACAGAATGGAAGTAAACCAACATGAGGCAAATGGTGAATGTTTCCTTTGCGTTCGAAGGAATGTCTTCTTTCGGCGGTGACATCTCATGCCCTTCACTGTTAGACGTAACATGAATGCAATCATCTATTTCATAAATTTAAGGCCACACTAACTAACATCTTGAGATGATGCATGCACCGGATATGTCTGAAAGACCTTCAAAATAGTTCCTCAGTGTATTTAGATCAACTCATATTGGTTGTAACGACCGCTGGTACAATCAATTTCACTAACTACGGTGAAACAGTTGTGATGTGTTGACGTAAGCGGACTTTTTCTGAGTAAGCTTAGAAGCAGTTAGGACCCGTTGATGCTGCACGCTGCGCTGAATTCAGATGCTGTTGTGATAAAATCGCAGACTATAAGCGCTTCACTGACTGGGCCATAGAGTACCTAAGGCTATTTGAGCAGTACAGGGTAAATTCATAGGTTAAAAATTTACATCATGCTTGCAGAGGCTAGATACTAGAAGGAAACAAACAACGCTTACACTCACTTAAGACAGAAAATGGTGAAGTTAGCGGTTAGGAACCAAGCAAGCGCAAAACGATTGATGATTTAGGAAAACTGTCAGAGGAAGGAAGGTCAACAACAATATGTTCTTTTTAAGCATTGAATGAATTGCGAAGGTATGTGTTCAGGTTAGGTTAGCAGTTTAAGTTTATGTTTAGACTGGAGACAAGCAAGGGTTACTTTGACGTACTCAGGAGGATATTAGGGCTCGTTAAGGCTAGGTTAATTCCGGTTAGGGAAACATTGGAGTTTTGGCTGAGTTAAGAGCCCAATTTGGTTTTTAACACAGTTGCTAGTTTGATGAGTCTGCATCTGCCAGGTGTTTAAAAATTAACTGCGCTCAGAAAAGATTCTTCCTTAGGTCTATCACTAACTCAGAGAATGGAAAGTTTTGCGGATTTGTTAAAATAATTCGGTCGAATGAACTTTAACAGACCTTGAGAAGCGTTCACTTCAAATGGAATACGGCTACACTGTTTATCCGGATGAGTATTACGCAAATGCTGAGGAGGAAGAAGAGGAATGGGATCGACAGGCTTATCTGGATCCCATGTGGGAAATTCAGCAGAAGAAGGTACCTTTGAATAAACTGTTTATACATTATTCACAAGACTTTCACCGCTTGGTGTAATTCATACTTAAGAAAAGTTCAAACTTCAATCGAAAACATAGAGGAAGACTTTGCTGATGGGCTCAAGCTTATCCAGTTACTCGAAACACTGTCTGAGGAGTCCTTACCGAAACCAGACAGAGGAAAAATGCGTTTCCATAAGCTAGCAAATGTTAATAAGGCATTGGAATATATTGAGAGTAAAGGCGTTCAACTAGTGTCAATTGGTGCTGAAGGTAATGCAACGTTGTGTATTGAGACACTGTAGAAATTGTGGATGGCAATATCAAAATGACTCTTGGGATGATTTGGACAATTATTCTAAGGTTTTGTATTCAGGATATCACTGTCGAAGGTAAGCGCGTACTCAAGTTTACTAGTTTTGCTCCACACAGTGACGCATAAGAATTTAGATCTTTGCATGAAAATGCAAATACAAATGCTTTTTCTCATCTGTTATCAGTTTTACCTTTTTTTAATAACTGGAATTCAGTAGATTATGTATTTCCAAAAGCACTAACAGCATTTCTGAAGTGAAGTAAATCATTGCAAATTTAACTAGTTGTATTTCGGATTCAGATGATAAAGGATATTAAGCGCTTGTAGTATGTGTTAGTCCTTGCAGTAGGTATCACTTAAGAGACCTGATTTATCTTTGAAACGGTTTGCCGGTGGAGCTGATATCACTTGGTAGGGTAAGTGGATCCGGTCGTTGACCACCCTATGATAGCATCTAAATTCCACACGTAATTTGTTCTAACGTGGTTTAAGTACTTTTTGTAATGAATTCTTTAAAATACCCTATAAGGACAAAATGTTTCAGGAAAGTTGACTCCAAAATCACCTTTTATTATAAGATCTACCTCTTCTCATAATGAATGTGGGAGATACCACCGACTAATTTAGTTCTTACTATTTGCATTATTTTCAAGATTCATAGCTCCTTTGGGAAGCATAGAGTAGCCGCTTGCATTCAGTTTTCTAAGAGGGGTCTTGCACTAGTTGGATAGAGTACTTTATAGAGGGACTCATTTAAGCGTTTAAAAGTCCTTTGAAGTGCTCGCAGCATTCGGGAGGCCTTGACTGTAGATGTGTTACAACAAGCAGCCGTTTTGAAGTCGTGGCTGACAATTCCTAAATCCTTTTATCGCTTAACACTTGGCAGTTCTGTATCTTCTGGGAAGTACGGTGTGTATGACTTCTTGCGTAGGTGCGTTATCCCCCCTTTTCTGAAATGAATTTCCAAAATCCAGAGGTAAAACCTTTTAGCTAACTTACGTAGATCATCATGTATGACTTAATTGTCATCATTATCACTTACGGTTTTCCGGATCGTAATATCGTCCTCTAATAATAATAAAGAATGGATAAGAATTTTCAGCAATTCATTTGTGTATAGTAGATGCCCGTAATAGTACCTTGTGGTACTCCACTCAATACAGGTTTCCACCCGGACAGTACACCATTTACCCTACCCAGAAGTTAGCTCCTAAACCAATCATATAAGCATCGATCTAATCCAAACCGTTTTAATTTACTTAAGAGACTTAAGTGTGACACTTGTTGTATGCTCCGCTAGGACCAATAAAAACTACGTCCAACTGCAGGTTATTGTCTCTGGCTTCCACTCAATTTTCCGTGACTAATAATAAGCTTGTTAGCCAGGATTCTCTTTATCTGAATTCATACTGTTCCTCTGCCAGGTAGTCCTTTGTGATTGTTTCTAATACCTTTAGTATAATACATGTCAAACATGCAGGCCGGTAATTTGGTAGTAATTATATATGTATATATACTTTCATCTACCCTACCAATACGCCGAGAAAAATATGCATTATGTCTCACCAAAAATACTGCAAATTTTAACCACTGAGCTTCACTTGTTATGTGGTGTCTTTGAAGTGAAATCCTATTTTGCTCATTAAAGAATATGTTGTAATTACAAACATATTAAGAACACTATCGGTATGAAATTTTAGCAGACTGTTTTTTCTCATAAATGGCTAAACTGCATTGTTACCTAGACTGGTTGAATTTTAATCGGTTATATCGAGTGTTTCCCTTAGTTCCTATAAATTTCTCCTTGTCATCGCGAAATAAGTTTAGCCAGTTGAGCAGGATCCTCAAAATGGTGAAAAATTATCCCATATTATCCTGGTACATTTATCGTTCTTGTTTTGTTCAGCTTTATAATCAATGCGTTTCACTTTTCGTACACTTTAAAGTGAAGCTGTTGTAAACTCCCTTGATAATCAAGATTGAGTAATAAAATTATGTTTTAGTATATAGTAAAGATAGCGTGGGGCGAATAAAGTGTGCCTTTTATCTTGTGTATAAGAAAGCATACTGCCTCTGTGTTTTTTAATAAGGTCATCTTTCATTATTATGTCTTATGTAAGCAGCTCAGAAGTGTGCTGAGTCGAACTGTGGCATTTTGCTGCAATTGCGAATACATGTATATGGTTAACACGAAACTAAATCACATATATTGTGTCGTACATATATTTATCAAAAGTTTTCATCTTCCATTAATCGCAAGAACACAAGTCACATCTTTAAGTCATTTTAAGGGGTTTTGCCGGGACGTGCTACTTATTTTAACCGTTTTATTCGGAAGAACTGAAAGTAAAATTTAGATGCTTTTTGATATAATCATAACTTTGAGGGAATTCAGTAAACTGTGTGATTAAATACATCCCATTAGTTACTTAGGCTGAGTTGAAGTCAGCAATTTTACCTAAAATTAACATTTTGTAGAGTTTTGTTCATCTTTCTTGCGCAGATATGTAGAACTACGATAACCCCACTTATTGTGTCAAATGGTTTATGGTAGTGAGGGGTAGATGATCGATGTAGCAAATAATTCGTTAATTTAACGAAACTGACATTTTTCAGCTAGGTGGTTTGAATTTACTGTGAAAGCATAACTTTTTACTGTTCATTTGAAACATTATCCTCCCTACCATTTTGCGAAATTCTGTAAATTTCGACTACATGTTACCTTTGCTTAAATTGATAGAATGTACTACTTTGAGTTAAAAGAAATGAATCATTTGTTTCGTCAAAAGACTTCGACCCAACCTATACATTCAGAAAGATAGTGTGACTAATCTCTTACTACCCTGATAGCCGTTATTGTTTTGTTCTATTGCATAAAATTTCAATCAATTTTGATTTTCACTCATTGAATTGAACACACTGTTAAGGTTTCAAATCTACTAAATTAAATTATTTTATCTATTTTATGATTTTACTTCACTATTCACCTTTGAACTCTCCACCATAATATAAATTCACTCCATTGTTCTAACTTGTACTTTGTCTCTAGTCCATCTGTGTTTCCAAGCGAAATCTGAACTCTGCCCACCCCCCCCCCCCCTTTGTCTCATTAATGTATAGATAATTGCTCTTTTAACACTATGTAATTGTCTACTTAAATCACCCGTATACTTTCTATCTATGACCTGAAGTCATTGCAGAAAGTATGTTCAAGAAATTTTGTAACAACTGATTTATTTAGGATGTACGCAGTTGAAGACAATCCACAAAATAAAACGAGGTCGTATTATCCTACAAATGAGTTCGTTATTTGTTTATTGAAAAAAAGAAAGACCGAGTAATTTATAAAATGCATTACTAATTCACTTGTCTTTAAGAGACTCGGCATTTGAACAGTCATCCATTTAAAATTGTCGATGCTAAACATTTATTGAATTAGCGCCTTTTGTTTTTTTTTAGAGATGTCTGCTAAAGAAGGACTTTTACTCTGGTGTCAGCGTAAAACCGCTCCATACAAAAATGTGAATGTACAAAACTTTCATAATAGGTTAGTTGGTTTTCGAATCACACTGTTTACGTTATAAAAACAACCTATGTCTTTTTGATGCTGGTTCATCGAGTAGTCCTTTTACCATTAATTTGATAATTAGAGACTAGTTGAAGGATTAAACTTCAGTTTACTCCTTTCACAAATGGCCAGATATACTTCGTTTGAATTAGATTAGTGAATTACTTTATCCTCAAAGCTTGTTAAATACAGAAAGTATTGGATCACTACATTCTGTAAAGGTCCTCATTGGTTTTTGTCGAAAGTCTGATCTAAAAATTTTGTACCATTGTTGATCTGACAAGGGTTTAATAACAGTGAAGTTTATTGAGTTGGTAAATCAATATAGTTACATGAGAACAGAATGAATTATTTTTGATTAGACCAAGTGTAATTCTAAGCAAAAGAGATTTTTACTGTAGATATCACTGGGAACTTATTGAGAAATCGTCCTACTTCGTTCTAAATTACGTGATTCCTCTTGTGATTTTAAATACGTAGGTTCAGCTTATTGGTCTAGATGGTTCGCCTTATGTACGAAAATCATGAGCTCGAACATTTCATTTGTTAAAGTTTATGTAACCGAATAGCCAATATGGCTGTCACTCAGTAGGTGTGGATATTGCATGAATATACGCATAAATGGTAAGTTTTAGGTGGAAGAATGAATACTGAAGTGATTATGAGTAGTAGTAACGACAAATATTTGTTCCTGCAAATCTCTTGGATACTCATTCTGGATGGTGGTATCAATTATCTTTGGATTAATTGAAACAATATGTGAAATTATGTCTGACAGTTGAGAATGTGACATTTTGAGCATGCATATCTTTCACTGCTTATACACTTCATGAGTTCAGTTCACACTGGTATCCATTTTCCCGCTGATCAGAAATTCCTAAGATTCAGTTAAAGAACTTTCCAGCAATAGTTAATACTGTTTCACTGTGTGATATATCTAATAAACAAACTAATATGGAATAGTCATATTTGTTAATAAGGTTTCTTTGGCTTATGCAGTAGCTGTACTTTGCTTACAGTTTCTGTTCTGGTGTGTATTATATATGATTACCAAAAGAAGACGAGGAAGAATCAGTATGTGTTCTCACTACCATAACATATTGGTTTCTATTTAGTCACGGAAATTCATTTTTACTAAATTACGAGGACCTTTATAAGATAGCACCTTTTTTCAGATTTCGTTTATCTGTCATTTGTTATATCTTTTATTGTAGGCAAGACATTAGTGGTTTATAGGTTCTGTCGCTATGTGCATGATATTTTCTCATCACACAGGATCTTCAAATAAAATATCACGTGACAGTAAACCATGTGAAACACTTCTACCTGACGTGAAGCGCAAGCAAGAAATTATGACGTCTCTTCTATGTCATCGTCGGTAAATGCATGTAATTTGGTTGGATGTCAATTAGATAATGTTCAATAATCCATCCTGTAAACCAAGGACACAAACCATGAACAGCTATCTCTTGCATTGCAATATGCCGCAACCCACGATTATGTATTTTCTCACGACAACTAGAAACTTGCTAATCAGCAAGTTGTAAACATATTAAATACTCGCCAGAATATGAAACGTTATCGAAGGTCACATTCTATCAGATTTAAACAAACTGAATGGGAAAAAATATCTATGAAATATTGATAGGATTTTTCGGTAACCCATATTTAAGCAGGCCGCCAAGTCTTATCTTTGAAACAAAATCACACAGGATTAGAAAATAGTTGACTAATCTGTAAAATAGTTTTTTAACGAAGACAGGTGTGGACGGAATGAGCATGGAAACAAATTAAAACAATAGTTTTTATAACAGAAAGGGAAAAACAATGAAGAGATTGGAAACACAAGACTTAGGAGTCAAACCGAATTATATCCATGGTAAATATAGAGGGTGGACTAGTTTCTTTTGAACGCATGACTCCGACTTTTCGATGCATATTATTTCAGTTTGTTTCCTTTCCCATCCCAACCACACCTGTTTTCGTTAAAAACTAGTTTACATATTACTCAACTATTTTCTAATCCTGTGTAATTTTGTTTCAAAGATCCTTGTCGTGTCTGTTCACACACCTACACCTTCAAGTTGAAGATTATTATAACCACTAATCTTATTAGTTTTTATATGGAATTAAGTAATAATTGTATCTGAGTGAATTTATGTATATAAATCCAACTGTACAGCTGTTGAGGACAAAGTCGCCGAAACCTTTTCTGAAAATCACAATATCCGTGAATAATAAAAAGATGAAAGTTATTGGAAGATAGTGCATATGAGCCTATTTTTATATTTATGCTGTGAAATACTTTTGAGAATAATTCGTTGCGTAAGTATCTGGTGTAAAGTCCTCATAAATAATGATCCATATTTATTGCCTTTTATTATTTCACTTACTAGTAATTATTGGTAATAATAGTAATGATGAACAAAAACCAATATCATCAGTAAAGTTAGCATTAAAATTATTTTTACTCGATAAACCTTAAAGTTTAATACGTACATGTATATATGTATACAATATAGTTGGAAAGATGGATTGGCGTTCTGCGCCTTAATACATCGTCATCGACCAGATCTTATTGACTACTCAAAACTTTCAAAAGTAAGTCTTAGTATAATTTGTTTGCATGGCATGCAAAGCATATACTGCATGATTTTCTTTCCGTATCCCAACGAAGATATGCATAAATCAATTGCGTGAAGGATGCATTCAGTTGACATTAAAGACTGTCAAATGTTATGCCTCCAATCTTGTCTACAAACCAGGATTTTTAGTTGCATACTTGTATGCTTAAAAATTAGCATTTGTCATAATTGATATGAATTGTTTGGTTTCTTTTGTAGGACAATCCAATACAGAATTTGAATTATGCTTTCGACGTAGCCGAAAAACACTTAGATATTCCACGAATGTTAGATGCGGAAGGTAAGTGGGAATGTAGTAAATCATGTGAATTGATTATTTCACTTCAAACTAGTGTTTCATAAAATACCAATCACTGTTAGATGCCACATGAATAGTCACTTGATTTTACTGAAAGAAAAATTCAATCAACTGGTCACTTAGTGATTATGGATATTTTTGTGTGTAGGGTTTTGTTCAGAGTTTTAGCATATGACCTACTGCAAAATTACCACTTATGGATGAATAAATCTTTTGTGCTTTTCTCATAGATACCACTTGTGCTAAGAAGGAAATGCACTTTAAACTCTTTACTTTCACCTATAATGGTAGTATTAGAGACATTAGAAGTTAAATCTCTCTGTACTTTTCAAGAGTTCACACTTCAGATGTCATTCAAACTAACAGCCATTACATTAAAATCTAAATGTAATATGACAGCGAATATTTTAAAGTATCTAAGAGAAATAAAAAGTTTGTTTCTAATCTTCTCTACGTATAATTGAGTTTCAATCGCTACGCTATTGAAGACAAAACTCACTTCCCTTATTATTTAAAAATCTTTGAACAGTATGTTGAAATTAAGTTATGTATGGACTAAAAGTGAACATATTGACATGAAGTAAATAAGAATGGTGACAGCTGTATACCAAATAATCCTATGTAATGGTGACTGGTTCTTGTTATTGAGTATTAATTAGTTATTGTAACGGAAATCCGTATAAACCGTAGACTAACATCCTACAGTTCAAATATTATACACCATTATATTATTATTCCGTTGGGTTCTGATTGGAATATAGGCCTTCAACAACACATCTCTATTTCATCTTATTCCCTACAGTTCACTTTATCTGGCTCTGCGATTACCCATAAGCCCTCATCTCCTCCTCACATGATTCTCCACGCGTCACACTCCGATTGCTAACTAGTCGTCTTCCTTTCGGATTCCACTCGAGGACCTAGCACTTGATGTCACTCAAAAGTTTCTTCAGCGCGTGTCCGATTCATCTCCATTTTCTTTGGCATATTCGTTGGGCATTAGGTTCTTGATTGGTTGGTTGGTTGGTTTGTTGCCAGAGTTCCTTGTTACTAATCTTTTCTGGCCTTCCATCTGATTGTTAGTGTGTAGCGAAAACAAGTGTTGATGAAACTGTGAAGTCTGCTATAAATGCTTTTGGTGACGCGACAAGTCTGTGGACAACTCTCTGGACTTATTTAATTTACTTTCCCCAGTCAAACAGGACGTTTCTGTACATTTCTAATTAGTTCGCCTTGATCGTTAAGGTTTCTCAGTAAAGTAATCAACATTTTTAAATCATAATCTTCTTCCTAATATAAAAGGCAGAATCAGTTCAACTATAAAACAATCATTAATCGATGTAAGGAGGATTTGACTGTTATGAGATTGTGTTCATATTTTGAACGCTTCAATTCATACTGCTTAATAGTAGACATTTTTATGGGACATCATAGTATATTATTCTCGTGGGTCATTCTACTCATCAGCTTATTTCACCACCACAAGGTGAGTTCCTACTGGCAGAAACAATTATCACATTTAAACGATGTAATACGTATTCAGTATATTAATTATCTTTACATCTGTCTCCTGTAATCTCTTATAAAGACCAGTTTAGTTTCTTTTAAATTCGGTGTGTTTGCCTTGTAAGACATAACAAACTGTCTTGAGTTGTACATATATATCGCTTTATACAAATTTTAGTGGTCAATACAATCAGTAGCTTTTGCGTAAAATGATCTGATTTGGTTCACCCTTTGGATACAATCTTTCAAGGTTGTTAATATCAACGTGTTGCTTATATTACTTGCTGTACACCAGAACAAGTACTACACAATTTATAAAAGTTTAGTAATAAGCAAAATGATATCTCTTTAGAATTCAACTTGATATAGACATAAGTTGTTTTGAAGAAAAAGGGTTTCTTTTTTCTTGACGTGAATTTTATCCAACCACTGGTTTCATTGGAATCGTCTTCGCGAAATAGATAGGACCTAATAAGGTTGTTTTAACTTCATAATTCCTTTACAGTTACTACTCCACTGGAGGTCGCTTCAGTGAATTCTGCGTATGACAATATTTCAATCATTACCCTGAGATACGAAATTTGGCAAGTACCGAAGGATGCTCAGCAATATCTACTAACTCTCTTCCTTGCATGTAGTATCAAATAAGAATGCAACATAGTGCGTAGCACTGCTGTATCTCAGCACGGATACAGAAGACTCGTTCGGCACATACCAACTTACATCATCTCAGGCGTAGACGGTATATCTTGCTGGTTGTTTAACAAAGGACCTGTGTACTGCTCGGCAGTCCGCTTCGTCCTCCTTTATGGCCGTGAGACATGGCCATTGAAAGTGGAAGACATGAAAAGCCTGTCTAGCTGTCTTTGATCATACGTGTTTGCATTCTATCTCCCGTGTTAAGTGGTATAATAAGGTGAGCAGTATTGAGGGGAGACGTTGAGTGCTAGGTAGGAGGGGAAATCAATCGACGAGGTTATGAAGTTACACCGATTGAGATGGCTAGGGCATGTGTTACGCATGCCTAACCTAACCATCGCCTTCCTCGACGGGTAATGTTAGCTGACATGGGATCCATGAGGTTGGAAAACAATTAGTGGTGGTCAAACCAAGACATGGCCTCATCAGTCAATGAAATCCACAACAGGTATTTTAAGCCAGTCACGTAGGAAGGTGTAAACTTCCTGTTTGGGGTCCTCGGGATGATAAAAACCAATGGAGGCTGGAAACAATTGGTGGTGTGGCTCAAACTCATCGTTCTCAATGACGCAGATGCATCCACTCCTTGTGATTTATGATATGCAATAAAATTCTATTGTTCTTCCGTATCACTATTCTGTTTGCCTCGTATTTCTGTCTATTATCTTTCTTTTGAACCTCTCTCTTCTCTTGCTTTGTGTGCTACGTGGAGTGTAGCAACTCGAACTGCTGCACATCTGTGCAAAGTTCTACGTTGAAACCAGTCAGTCAGAGTAGCAGTGCTGTGCACATTTGACTATAACTATATTGTATACCTAATCAACAGATTTTAGTCAACACTTTTAGAACCAAACGGGTACATCTGTTACCATCTGTTGACCATTTGGTAACTTGACAAGTGTTTATTAAAATAATGATTCACATTTACATGCAAAACATCAGAATTAATTTATAAATTAATTCATTGATAGCTATAAAAAACAACAGTGAATTCGGTGGTATCTTTTCTCAATTGGTAACTTCTTTATAAAAGCTCTATTATCACGTTGTTTGCCACCTGTATGTATTTCAATGAATCTAACTATAATAGAACTTTTCAGGTTATTTTTAGCTTTCCTTTCTTCTCCGTTGCAAACGAACATATTTTTTTTCAGAATACACATACACCTTCATTAGTTGTTATTCTTATTTAGAAATATATATGTATTGATACATGCTACTTTTTTTAACGTTTAATGTTTTAGACATGGTGAATACAGTAAGACCAGACGAACGATCTGTGATGACCTATGTTTCAGCCTATTATCATGCATTTGCTGGTGCACAAAAGGTAAACACCGGCAATTTGTTTTGTTTTTATCGAGAAAAGTCTTTAAGTTTATTTATATGCATACTATAATGCATTTAAGAATGAAATCTTTTCTGTCGTTCTGTTGCACATAACTTTTGTATATCTACTTATTAAATGTATACAGGAATTTCTCAGCGTAGTTTACTCTCAAATTTGATTTACTCTGTTAGTTTATAGTAATTAAGAATAAAGTGTATAGCTGATTATCACCTATACTGGACTTTATATCTTGCGGAATGTGTCGGGATATTTTACGTTTTTTATGAGGTAAGGTCAAAAATGTACCCGAAAAGAATATAAAAATATCAAAAGTGAATCGTTATTTAGAGGATAAGTATTTTGTTGGTTTCACCAGTCTTTGTCAAGTATGTAGAAGCAAGAAAATCATTATCTAAGCATCATGACTTCTTTTCGTCGGACAGTTAAGATATACTAGGTGGCTCATTTGCTTGGGATCTTCAGTTACATATTTATCTGCTATATTGGTATGTATACGTATTTGTCGTATGTCAAGTTTTTGTTGCAGTCTGCTAGAAAGAAATGAATTTTGAATGATATGGATATATAGGGCCTGTAAGCATGAGATATCATTATTATTAAAACAAAAGCTTCCAAATGACACAGTTAAGCAGTAATACAACGCTGTATAAAAGGTTTAAGTAAAAGGTATTTACGGTTGCATAATTGCACGTGATTCAACGCAATCTGACAGTATGTAATTTGAATAAAATCAGGTAAGTTTGTGGTGGTCTGATACAGACAATGTGTCCCAACGGAACATTATTCGCACATATTCCTACAGTTCAATACTGCATTAACAACATAATATTACGTATATTTGAACATTCCATTTCATGTCGTTTAATGTAAACCAAAGTCACACGCTCTGTGACTGGTTAACGAACATAAACTATATATATATGTATATAATGTATACTGCAGAGACTCATTCCATTTGGTGTTAGAGAATATGAAGGGTAATTCCAACACTGATTCGCCCGCAGTGGTAATCGATATAGGTTGGGGTTGGGAAAAATGTAAGATTTCGACTGGAAGTTAAAACGATAATCTATGGAGTTATGTTATGAAGGTGTGAGACGTGCAGGGAAAGTAAAACTGAAATGTTACGAGTCATTGCTTCGCAAAGTGGATTAATTTTGTTCTTAGTGTTTCACTGTCATAGGGACTCTACCTTCGATCACTGAATAACTATTTTCGCACTTCATGACACCTGCTGAGTTTTCGATGTAAAGTTGAACTTGTTTGCTGGGCTTGCAGCCATTTACATCGACACAGGTTTGCTATTTTGTTATCATCTTCAGAAATTGTTATTCCTCCTATTCATCTGTTTTATTCTAATATTTATTCATTTGTGTTGGGTTTTTTCTTATTGTGTTATTTTACTTGATGTAGTGGATTGAAACACTGCACACATGCATTAGTTTTTATATGGATTTGTGTGTTATCCCCAAGATCAAATCATTTGAGAGTCTTCGTTCTTAAGATAGAGATTCAGGTGTGAATATAATGGTCAAAGTGGTTCTACAGATATACTAGGCAATGCAATTTAAGTTGGTCTTTCGGTCTGTCAGTTGTAAGGGTTTAGAGAGGGATTTTTGATATGCCATAAGTTTTTTTCTATTTATCTATAAAAGCATGTGAAAGCACTACTACATATTTATGTTATTTTATTGAGTTGTTATTTACTGAAATCGAAGTCAACAGGTAAACGTATGCAGCTGTGGAATATTCATAGTTTATCTATAGGTCATGTCATTTCATTTTCTCGTTGTTTTGAGTAGTGGATAATTTACAAATTAGTTGGGAGCATGTGGATCAATTCTCTTTTTGTTTTAATAATAATAATAATTTGCTTTATTCCAAAACAGTACATGTGATACAGAATGGAATTCTCAGCATTTTTACTACAGTATTGCATCCAGTTAGTAAATTATCAATAAATAGAATTCTACATAGATTAAGGAAATCTCAGTTCATTATTGCAACAACACATTGGCATGTCGGTAGCAAAGGTAAAGCTGAACAGTGTTTGAAGGTGTTAGAAAAGTAGGTGCTGTCATATTTACTGGCGTAAGCGAGAGAAAGAAACAAAGCAGTACATAACAGAAAAAAAGAGAAAAAGAGAGAGATAGAAAAGGAAAAGAAAGAAAGAAAATGTTGTACCTATAAATGATATGAGTTGGAAAGACGAGGTCCAGTTGTACTACTGACTATTTAGTGAATTATCGGTGTCACGCCTAATGCTTTCTTTATCACACAGAACACGAGCTAAGTAGGGTATGGTTTAGTTTTTGTACTTGGTGGTGCGAGCATATAGTTTTCTATATAGGCTTCTGGTTTTACCTGATGAGATGCAAGGGGAGAGTTGTGAGTGAAGAGGGTGGTGTGAGTTAGATAAAATGGATTTGGCCCATTTTTCACATGGGTCCATGTGCCTGTCGACCAGAATATTAACAAGCTGGTTAAGTGGCACGTTGCTTACCCCGCTGACAACCTTTTACATCCTGCGTAATATGTTATAGTCTTTCTTCAGTAGCCCGGGAAAAACTAAGGGGGAACAATAGAGAATAATAGGCAGAATGCGAGAGTTAACGAATTGTAGGAGTAAGGGTTGGGTAATACCAGAATGTTTTAACTTCTTGATGTAGAAGGTAAGACGGAATATTTTCTTAGAAATCGTCAAGATATGAGACGACCAGGAAAGATCAGCAGATAGAATGACGCCTAGGCATTTAATTTCCGACTTGGTTTCTATTTCACTGCCAACTATGTTGCACACCTCGTGAGAGCCAACCAGCTTGTTTAGGTCGGATTTATGCCTAAAGGTGAAATTGACTGTTTGGCATTTGGAGGGGTTTAGGGTAAGACCGTTTGTAGCTAGCATTGGATCATACGATTCCTTTCACTACGTAAATACCTTTTAAACTACAGAAATCTTTATACAATACTAGTCGAATATCGGATTTTCAGTAATAAAGCTACGATTTATAAACTTGGGTGGCCTACTTCTGTATGGTCGAGTCAGAAATATGTTGTTACCGCATGATGCAAATTTTGTTTGCAATCTTATATGTGTTATATTCATCAGTTTAAAGGGACGAATGAATAAGAATATCGGAAAAGCTGTAGTTGCGCACGGTTCAACACATTGGTAATATAAAACTATATAAAAGAAGAGAAATAAGTGATAACTACCGAAAGCGTCTGTCATTTTCGCATTTTAACATATCTTAGTAAAATTGGATGTACATTAAATTTTCAGATCTTTGTACTATTATATTTTCCTAATAGTTGTTGATACTGATGGATTTTAGTTCGATCTTACTAGCTGTTTATGTTTTAAAAATATCCATATTACTGAGTGAATATTTTTATTTTCGAATTACGTAAATTTTGTAAGTGTAGCTTTGTGTTTGAAGTACGCAGATTTCATGTTATCATATGAAAATGTGAATATCTCTTCACCTGCCGAGACTTCTGCAGCCAAGTAGTGTTATTAGTCGCCAGACAATAAATGAGTTTCAGTATGTAGCACGCGAATCATCATAAACATACTGAGTTACATATTTCTGTATGCTTCATAATTATAACAACGCAAATTCTGGATGAAATAAGATGAATTCATCATTGATTATTCTCTTTTTCGCCATTGCTGTTTAAATCTGATTGTTACTTTATATACGAAAAAGTTAAATCGTCGATTATTTGCGTGAGTACTCAAGTTTTGACTGGCAGTTGTTGGTGGAATTTTACTTCATTTGTCTTGGTTCGGAGGAGCAGTTGTATTTTCACCTAGTGTACAGTTAATGCGACTTGAAAGTATGGGGAAACAACTAGTACCTTACTGAGTTGTATATTTTAGTTTATTTTTCAGAATAAGATTCTCAGTTCAAATATCTTAACTCTTACTTTGAAATTGTTTGCTAACAGGGTTCTCATTTAATTGTACACGAATTTACTGGAATTTTCAATATACTACACTGTGCTATTCGACAGAGTATGATTCTAAGATGTAAAAGTGGATGCTTAGCTTACAAAGATTATATCAGCTGATTTTAAATTTTATTGAGTTTAATACGTTTTCTTCTTAGTTAAGCTCAACTTCTTCCTTTTTATGCTTCTTCTTAAAGCGTATGACTTCATTTGTCAATATGTATCTGTAAACACGACAAAGGTAGAATCCATCTCAAAACAGAATGCTTTATTACGATATGTATTTGTGTACAGAAAATATCAGATGGCAGAATAAATGAATTGCTTAAGTTATTACCGCTTTCAGCAAAAGAAGCATATTTTTGGGCTTATCTTTCATCAAACAAATCTGTTTAATTAAGCATTTGAATTGCAAAACTACCCCCAAAGAGCTATAATTACTATGCTGGTGAACTAAGGAATTTGTCTTCATGTGTTTTTTTTCACGTACATTTGTATTTAGGAATTACTGTAACAGTTTGTTATTAGTGGTATTATGCTTACATATTTTCGTTGTGTGAATTAAAAATAAGCCTAATTTTTGATCGATGAAAAAGATAATTTAATTCTTAAGGGATATTCAGTGTATTTTTAAAGTACATGTATACATTACCCAAAACCTTTTTTGTTTATCTGCTAGATAACATTTGATTTAGTTCCACTGCTAACCAGTTTAAGTGAACCACAGCCTACATAGACTGTTTATATTAACTACGTTTATTTACAAAATTCTAGATACGCATAACTGTCATGGTTATTCTAAAGGAAATCTAACCTACTGGGAAAGCTTATACTATGAAAATTTCTTGACAGAAAAGGAAATCTGTTTTGCATTATACTATGCGCACAAAATATGAGAAACCAATGTTATATATATATATATATATAATTTTTCCTTTGGTTTCTGAGTGGAGCATGGGGCTTCAACAGCACATCTCCACTTCGTCCTATTCTACGCGGTCCTCTTTTGATCCCCCTCCCGATTACACATAACCTCTCATCTCCTCCTCACACGATCTTCTCCATGTCACACACGGACCACAACCAAACTCGTCGTTTCCTATTCGGATTGATTCCACTCTAGTGATGATCTGGTGTGCGATGTCACTCGATATCTCCTCAACGTGTGACCATTCCATCTCCATTCACTTCGACATATTTTTTGAGCGTTCGGCTCTTGGTTGGTTGGTTCCCACAGTTTCTTGTTACTAATTCGTTCTGGCCGTTTGGTCATCAGTATGGAAATCCTTTTCGTGACACTCCAAGTGTGTGATCTGTGTAGAAGAACCGACTTGACATCGGTGTTGAAAATCCGAATCTTGTTCTTTATGGTGACTGAGTGCAGAAAATTTCCAGACTGATTTCAGGTTGATGAAGGCGTATCTTGCCTTCCCGATTCTGGGTGACTTTGAAATCTTCATGTGTTCCACCTCATGTGGTTGAAACGATGCTTCCTAGATAAGTGAAGGAGGTAACCTCTGTTACATCTCTCCCGTTGATGGTGATTGGTTGTTGTTGTTGTTATTGTTGGCTGGTTATCTTCATCACCTCCGTCTTCTCTATGTTCACTTGGAGTCCTATTTTCGCTGCCAGCATCTTCAACCAGTTTGTTGGTTTTCGCCTGCAAGTCTTCGAGTTTGTGTGACATTAGACACATATCATCTGCGAAATCCAAATCTTCTAGAGTCTTCTTATCGTTAGTTCAGCGTATTCTTCTCCTCTTGCTCACCACACACAGTGTACTGCATAATCCAGTCCTCCACAATTAGGAATATCATCGGTGATAATAGGCAGTCAGCTTGTCTTACTTCTGTGTTCACTTCGAACGCCTCGCTGAGTTTTCCGTTGTGGATCACCCGACATGTGGCATTGTCATATACCTGCCAATTAGTCTATATTAATTACTTTAAAAAAATATCTACCTATTCATTATTTTAGGCAGAGTCTGCGGCTAATCGGATTTCAAAAGTTTTAAAAACAAGCCAAGATAATGAAAAATTAATGACAGAATATGAACAACTTGCTTCTGATTTATTGGCTTGGATACAGCAACAAATACCATTCTTAAAAGTGAGCAGTAATACTTTTCTTTTTTCTTGCTTTTTTATGATTCATTTTTAAATACTTGTTTTGGTGAATTTTAACTCAGTATTACTCGTATTTCATCCATATTGGTTGAAACCCTCAACATATGATTTTTGAATTAAGTCCCCTATATAGTTAAAGGTAGGTATTTGTAGAGATTATTCATGTTTATCCATAACGATAGAGGGAATTCCACTTCTGGCTACAATAAAGTACAAGGTATTAGGCTTTATAGATTTACAAATAGGTACTGATTTAAACCTGAGAATCTACCACCCTTTTTAGTTGATAGTTTATATCCCATTGAGGAAATCTGTCCCTAACTGTTTGACACGATACAATTTTTATTTTTGTTAATTCACTTAAAGGTGTTTATCGTCCACACAAATCGAAAAGTGTTACAATTTCTCACTTTCAATTAAAAGAAAGCTTAAAACGAACTAAAATGGAGTGTAAAAGATTTTTTGAGAAAATTAAAAAGGAATCCTTAGATTTTATCGTTTTTCTCATAAAAATCACTCGATAATAATAATAATTCAACCTAAACGAATCTGCTCTAATATTATAGGCTAAATGATTTGTTCATTTCAATAAAAGGATGGAATGTCTCAGCTGGGTGTTACATATAATATGTGGCAAACAAAACCTTTTGTGGATTAACATATAAAGCACACTTGTCGCGCTGGTTGGAGTATTGTGCTTTAACCCTTATTTTTTCTACTGGAATTAATAATATTACTTCGTTGCCTTAGATGAAACAGGAGATTTTCTTTTACTACAATCGATCTAATTAAAGGTAGATACTTGGATCGTTCATCTGCACTAAATAGGATATTTAGTCTTATATTTTAATGTCTCCGTTGGTATGCGGATGCTCTGATATCTGTCTAAACTGTAACGTCATGTGGGTATTTCAGTTAGTGGTGATCTAAATTCAAATCCATCTTGTTTACTCTGATGTAGACGTTTTTGACGTATTATTATTCCTTTGAGTTCCTAGTGGAACACTTCGTCCGTTTCCCTACAGTTCACCTTATCTGGCTCTGTGATTACTCATAAGCCCTCATCTCCTCCTCACATGATTCTCCACGCGTCACACTCCGATTACTAACTCGTCGTCTCCCATTCGGATTCCACTCGAGGACCTAGCACTTGATGTCACTCAAAAGTTTCTTCAGAGTGTGTCCGATCCATCTCTATTTCCTTCGGCATATTCGTTGGGCATTAGGTTCTTGATTGGTTGGTTGGTTGGTTTGTTGCCAGAGTTCCTTGTTACTAATCTTTTCTGGCCTTCCATCTGATTGTTAGTGTGTAGTGAAAAAAAGTGTTGATGGAACTGTGAAGTCTGCTATAAATGCTTTTGGTGACATGCCGTGTCCCTCGATCATATAGAAGCATTAGTATTGAGAATTCCAATCTCGCCCTTCATGCTGAGTGCAGCAGATTCCCACATTAATTTCAGATCAATGAAGGTCTGTCTTGCTTAGGTATTTTATCATCAAGTTTTAACTATGAAATAGTATGCATCTTTGTTTTCACCGCTATCATTATTCAGTTTAACTTGCGTATCCATCCGTTTATTAGAGTCATAATATAATAAAAATATGTTATTTCTTAGGATTCGATATTATGTTTCATATTCCTCACTGATTCAAAATTTCATTCAAATTGTATTAGATTCGGCGAAATCTGAGATGCAAGTTTTCTTTTCTGTTACTCATAAACATTGGAATTGCTAACATTTATTCGTTGTAAGTAAGCGGAGTTGAGATAGAAAGTTTCATTGAATTTACTTTGGATTTTAGCCTAACTGAATGATCGTGAACCTATTTGAGCTTGAAGGATATTTTTGTTTAATTCAAGATGGTTGTTTATACTAAGCGAAAATACTGATTTATGATTATATTAACTTATGGACATTTGATATTTACTAGTGTTTGACGTCTAGTTGATTTTGTGTATCCGTATATCTCCCATAACCTTTGTGTAGGGAAAGTTTGTCAAATAACATTAAATTCCTTATTTATTGATCAAAACATCTAATCACACTTTGGTTATATTTCTGTTCATCTTAGGATAGAACAACTGATGGGACAATATCTGGTGCACGTTCAAAACTAGATCACTATGGTGGTTATCGAGCATTTGAAAAACCTCCCAGGCTAGAAGAAAAAACCCTTCTGGAAAATACCTACAACACACTACAAACACGATTACGACTAGCGAATCGGCCTTCTTTTTTACCAACTGAAGGTCGTATGATAGAGGATATTGATTCAGCCTGGAGACAGTTGGAGAACTATGAGAAGGGTTTTGAAGTAAGCGGCATGAAGTGATACTATAGATTGGTCCTTCAACATTTCTCAGCCGACTTCCCTCTGCATGTACTTAAAACCCTTTACAGTATTTAAAGGGCACAGTAGTGTTAAAGCAGTCCATGAAATGAATCTAATTAACTCAAACTTCAATATAATAGTCCCAACTGAATATTTTAATTTCATACTACACTTAGTTTAGTCAGCTGCTTTCGTAAATTAGTGATTTTCAGAATAAAAAAATGTCTATAAGGTTTTCGGGACCGTTTAACTTTGATTGTTCAGAATGCTCAAGTTTGATTTCTTTTTTTATAGCAAAATAATAATGACTGAGTTGAAGAATAAATTAAAACTGTTATCCGTAGATAACGAAACATTGAAAATTAACAGAAATAGGTTCTATCTTCATAACTCATGCTATAAGTTGGTCTCTTGGTTAGATATGTTGGAAGTGGGGAAATTACGCCGGATATTATTTGGTGAGCACTTAGTTTAGGTGATCCGACAGCAATATGAAAATGTAAAGTATGTTCACGATTTTAGCTTTGGTCCTTTCCTACTATAAGGCGAGTTCAACTACTGTGTGCATACGAGAAGTGTATGCAAGGAATGATCATCGTTCACAATTTCAGTAATTATATTAAGCTTAGAAACAGATCATTTTCTATAAACCCTCGCTCATCGCTTATGAGTATTATTAGTTGTATGCGTTAGATGTGGGATTTCTACGATTAAATTTAGATAGTATTAAATGTCTCAGGTGGCTGACTGCTTACCATAGCTTGGAATCTAAAGACTGAGGAGTAGTGAAAATTCTGACTACCTACAGGTTTTGTAGTTGATTGCTTGGAAATTTATTGGTGATTAATATTATTACATATTTACTTTCTTTCTTCAATAACTTTTGTTAAATGAATTTCAAAATATTCACCTCATTGAATTATTTTATTCAACTTTTAATTTGGTGTTTCTTAACTACAGGAATGGTTAGTCTCTGAAATTAAACGTCTTGAACAAATTGAATATTTAGCTAAAAAATTCCACTTAAAATGTTTAACTCATGAGGCATGGACTGCTGGAAAAGCTGATGCTCTTTCACTACAAGACTATGAAGGTGCTAGTTTATCAACTTTACGCGCTTTGGCACAAAAGCATGCTGCATTTGAAAGTGATTTAGGCGCACATCAAAACCGAGTAGAACGTATTGTGGCTATTGCTGAAGAACTGAAGTAAGTTATTAATTTATTTCACGGAAAACACTGCATATTTTAAGGTATTAGTTTGTAGGGATTTGATTGGTGGTTACAGGATTTCATCATGAGCTGACATCAGTTAGAGAACCATTGGAAAACCTGGGAGTAGAGGACAGCCGTTTCGTCCTAGTTTGGGACTCTTCACAGTACGCATCCACCGCCAGGGTTCGAACCTACGACCTTCTGGTTACGAAGTGCGCTCGTAGACCATTAAGCCAATGGGACCCGATCCAGTGGCTCAGCTTCTGACAATTCACGACATAGCGCGACCACTAGCCAGTGTCTTCGACGAGCTCGTCCCAAACTAGGACGAAACAGCTGTCCAGCACCCGCAGATTTTCCAAGGGTGCTCTAACTAATGTCTACTCATGATGAAATCCTGTAACTGCATACTTTACCTATGTTTAGCTTCAATATAATTTACAAAATACATTGCAGTGATTTTGAGTTAAGTCAACTACATAGGTTAAACTAGTTGATCAGGAGTAGTGAGATTATCAGGACATAAGAATTTAGCTAAGGTTACAATGATTGACTTCACGAAAGTAAGTAATTTAGAAAAGAACTCAGCAATGGGGTGTGACAGAGTCAAAATTCTAAAAAGTAATATAGGTAGGTGGAGAGAGAGATTGATTACGGAATTCCGGTTCATCGAGTCTACACCCAACACATGCAACAGAAATGACTCAACTGAGATATGGAAGATATTAATACGAGTCAAATCAGAGGATAATGATGTTAATAATAATGTTAAAATGTATCCAATTCACAGTATAACACTGTAACAAGTTACTTATTTTACTATAAAAAGATCTTATTTCCCATCTTATTGAATAACAACACTCGTCTTAATTCCCATCCTATTGTATTTTATTGGCAACACTAATATTATTTCCGAATGTACTTTATCTTATATTGATTTTATTCAAATTATCAATGAATTTTTACTTATGTATATAAACGAAGCGAGAAAGTAGTGTGAGTACCTTGATATGATTATGAGCAATAATTTGTGCTCGAAACGTCATCAGTAAATATTACTGTATAATACTGTGTAATTTTATCAAAATAAAATTTTATCCATAATAGAGTTCTCAATTGATGCTTTGGAACTGCAAATTGTAATAGCTTGAAAAGTATGGTTCCGTAGGGAACAATTATTTCTCAAAACATGTGTTACTCTGTAATCGTAGTTGTTTCCAGGCTTAGAATACTAGCTCATAATTAACTGTTGTACACGAAATCATCCAATTTTTGACATTTGACTCAATGAACCAGGATTCCGTAATCAATCTCTCTCTCTTTCCACTTACTTATATTACTTTTTAGTTATCAATAAATATTACTGTGCGATTATATTAAAACAAAATTTTATCCATAACAGAATATTTAATATCTTTATGTTGCTTAATCTGTATCACTTAAAGTAGCTTGTACATGTTTTTGACGTTAGGATTATCAATGTAATTTGATATCGAATAGTTTAAAGTAAAAGAGAAGGATGAATTAATTGATTGTTTAGTTCATTTTATGGGTTAGAATCCTTAATGGCACTGGTCAGTTTTAAAAGTACACACAGACAGAATTATTGTATTACTCTAATGCATATTGTCATATTAGCTTGGGAAATCTCTTGTTTTTGATGCATTTATTCTTAATCTTCTTACGAACGTTGTATATCCTAGTAACATTTTAAACTAACTTAGTGGTTTGTTGAATTTCGTTCAAATATAACACGTTGATTTATCTGACAATTTACTTTTAAAACAATCTTAATTTTTTCCCCTCATGATTCTATTGCATAATGTTCACTTATATTGATTAGATAACAAAGAGAATTTAAGTGAATCTTTCATTTATGTAAAGACATAATTCAAATCACTCATAGATATTTGGAATTTATGTAGAAATAAGCAAATATAAATATACTTTTGTTTGAATCATATGATTCCATTTTTCCTTTTGGTCATCTCAACACTGATATTCTTTTTGTGTGTGTGCAATACTTGCTCCTTTGTTAATACACTTCCACGTGTCAGGTGTTATAATAATATTAATTGTCTTTCTTTCTTTCATTTGATTTGAATTATGCCTTGTGAGAATTAAAAATAGGATTCAATACTAAATGTATTCATAATTTTTTTACGAGTTTGATCACGTATTGATATCAGTTAGAGGACCAGCACTCGAGTACTGGACAGCTGTTTCATCCTACTTTGGGAATCGCCGGCAATACGCACCCACTGGGGTTCGAACTCGGAACCAAGCTAGTATACCATTCAGCCACTTGGACCCGATTCAGTTACCCATGAATTCTAACTTTTACCAATTCGTGATTGAGCGCGACTACCAACCAATGTCATCGGTAGGACATCCCTCCTCACACTTGACTGGATGGACCTCACTGGTTGTAACTTCTCACTAGAACTCCAGCTAACACCCTCCTGTAGGTCCTGGGTTCGAACCTTAGTGGGTGCATACTGCCAATACGAATTTAAAACAGGTAACAAAGGTTAATGCAGCAGGATTTAATGAATTCATCAAGTTTCGGTGGAACTCTTCAGCTGAATACTCTACATACTGCGATATATACACATATTTAGCATTAGAATTACATTAAGAGATATAAGACTGAGAAGTAGATAGAGCTTGCATTGTATTAATCATGCAAAACTACCGAGGTTAGTATGTTTTTCAGGTCATTTTCAGATAGATAAAGGGAAGGGACTATGAGAGATTCGTCAGCAGACAAACAAATAGGAAGATGCTTTCAATTGCGGTCTCTGTGTACAAAAGGAAATATTGGTCACTCTGAATCCACTATGATAATATATCTTACTTATTGACTATTAATATTACTTTTGCACTATTCCTAATTCATTTAAAACTATCCTTTATTATTACCGTTATCTTAACTCTTTTTAACATTATTATTATTACCATTACTATTATTGTCATCAGTATTATGCAGTTCGCAATTCTTGATGTATTCAAGTTCTTTCGCTGATAACTAATTCTCTATTTAAGTAATGTAACTGAACTATAATGGATTTTATCTTAATGTCTCATATTCCCTTCCCCTTTATCTATCTGAACATGACCCGAAAAATACTCACCCCGGTCGTTCTGAATGATTGGTACAATTTAGCTGCATTTACTTAGCAGTCTTATGTCTCCCAATTTATTGAGCTTGGAGTTTTTTTCCTTCACGTTCCCCAGTGGAACATAGGGCTTCAAGCTAGTGGCTTGAAGTTTCTGTAGCAGTGTTTATTTTACAGGATGGGGTTGCTAGCCTCATGCCCAACCTTTCCTCTTCACCAGAATTATTTCTGGCTTAGTGAGGTAAGGGAGTGTGTCGACCGGGGATCGAACCCCGGACCATGAGCGTGGTCGGCGAGCGTCCTAACCGCTATGCCACCGACGCACCCAATATATTGAGCTTGGAGTAGCACAGAAGAATTGTAATCCCTGGAATATTAACTCTAGGTCAGAGGCGGATAACATAATTTTTCTCCGTTTGAATTACATCAACAGTTTTGTGTGAATGGAACCTTTATGCACTTCACATATTGTTTGTTTTTGAAAAAAGTATTTTACGCTTGGATTTTAATTAGCAGTTAACTGGCATAGTAGTTTTTTTCTGTGTGTGGTATGATTTCAAACGAATTTTACTCTGTTTTGCCGCCTGTCAAATATATTCAGCAGCTTACATGCACTTTAGAGGAACTTTAGGGTAACAAAGAATGTAGCCAAAATGTCATTATATGTTGGTGCATGATCCTTCATAATTAGATGATTTTAAGTGGGTTTTTTTTATCTCGAAACCTCATTTTTATCTAATTAAAAGTATTTTATATTTCTTTCCAAATGTATACGTTAAACGTCAGTCTTTTGTTTTACCTGTACCGTAAAAGCTTGGAATTACATTGTGTAACATTCAGGAAAAGTATTGTTTCTAATTAACTGAATTTATATGATGTTAGTACTGGTTAAATTGTTGATGTCATCTTAACACTGATTAATTGTTAATATGTTCAAAGTGACTATCACTTCTATGATTTGTTTCTTAACATGAAGTGCTGTGAAACCTTTTAAACATTTAATTTTCTGTAACAAACAACCATAAATGTATACGTGTGTTCTGTTGGTTTCTTGTATTTTGTATAATGTTAGTTAGAAACCTCTCTCACCCTGCTTAGTGTTCTTATACTGATTGTTAAATTGTCGTAGACATTTTGATAGATGATGCAATTGAATTAAGTTGTTATTTTTTGTTTGATGTCTATTTAATTATTTGCACTTTTTAAACCATTGCCTTCAAATATGCTTATGTTTCAGTTAGGTAACATTTATAATAGTTTATATGAACTACATTGCTGTATGGATGATATTATACGTTGAACTTTGTGATAACCAATTTGGTTATGGAGAAAATAAAAGACGAACCAGAGAAGAAAATTTTCTTTATCGATGAAATCATCTCTTTTTTTACCGAAAATGTATAGTGGTCCATTATTGTGTAATAGGGGAGGGCTGACATAATTGATATAATTACTAAGAAGTGGCTTCAAAAGTAAAAATGAAAGTTGTAAATTACGTCGCATCATCCTGGAGAGAATAAAGGACGCACTGGATACAGAACTCCGACCAGAACAAGCTGGATTCAGGAAAGGCAAATCATGTTTTGACCAAATTGCAACTCTACGCATTATCATCGAACAAAGCATAGAATGGCAATCAAACCTCTACCTCAACTTTATAGACTTTGAGAAGGCCTTCGACAGCATTGACCGCGAAGTTATTTGGAAACTACTCGAGTACTACGGCGTACCCCAAATATTCATCAACCTTATTCAACAACTGTACGACAACGGCACATGTCAAGTGATCCACAACGGAAAACTCAGCGAAGCGTTTGGAGTAAACACAGGAGTCAGACAAGGGTGCTTATTATCACCAATGATATTCCTAATTGTGGTGGACTGGATTATGCGTCAGACAGTGGGAAACGAGAAAACAGGGATATCCTGGACCGACGTGAAGAACCTAGAAGACCTGGATTTCGCGCGCGGATGATTTATGTTTGATGTCACACAAAATCGAAGACTTATAAGCGAAAACCGACAAACTGGTCGAAGAAGCAGCAAAGACAGGACTGCAGGTGAACATAGACAAGACGGAGGTTATGAAAATCACCAATCAACAACAGCAGCAACATCCAGTGCCAATCACAATCAACGGGAGGGATTTGAAAGAGGTTACTTCTTTCACTTATCTAGGGAGCATTGTCTCAACCACAGGAGGAACGGACGAGGATGTCAAATCGAGAATCGGGAAGGCGAGAAACACATTCATCAACCTGAAACCGATCTGGAAATCTTCGTCACTCACCATCAACAACAAAATTCGGATTTTCAATACAAACGTGAAGTCATTTCTGCTTTACGGATCAGAAACTTGGCGGGTCACCAAGAATATTTTCAACAGGTTGCAGACCTTTATCAACAACTGTCTTCGCTTCATACTGAAGATTAGATGGCCGGAAAGAATCACAAACAAGAAGCTATGGGAACAAACGAAACAGGAGCCAATCGCCCAACAAATATGCCGGAGAAAGTGGAGATGGATTGGACACTCGCTGAGGAGGCCGTTGGGTGACATCGCGCGTCAGGCCAACGCTCGAGTGGAACCCGAAAGGGAAGCAGCGAGTGGGACGTCCAAGGGTGACATGGAGGAGATCGTGTGAAGAGGAACTGAAACAGTATGGATTAACATGGATGCAGGTGAAAAGTACAGCAGAAGACAGAAGCAAGTGGAGGCGTGCAGTTGAAGCCCTATGTTCCACTAGGAACTCAAGGGAACAATAATTATAATATATAATAATAAATTACGTAATACTCGATGGCACAAAGGAAAAATGCATTAGAAATTTGATTAGGTTAAAATTGTTGTTGAGTGAGAAGAACGGTAGTTTAGTGCCCATGTAACAAATGTGAGGAGGGTGAGAAAACATACAAAAGGAACATGTGAGAGTTATAATAGTGCATTAATTATTAGTGTAAAAGCAAAGTAACCATTAAAAATAAAAGACTTACAGGGAACGACTAATGAAGAGGTTAAGACCATGGTAGAATAAGAGTCTGGAAAAACTTTTTCTCTATACATAATTCAGGGTTGTATTGACGAATTACCAACGCCTCCGCTATACACACATGCAGAAACCTGACTCCCTTTGTACCATTTGGCCTCACCTTGTAGATAAAGACAACTCTGGTGGACCTGCGTGGCTTGAGTTCACGAAGTGCTCGAGAATTGATCTAGTAACTGTCTTGCATTGTCCTTTTGCTAACCATGCGGGATAATGTTCAAAGATGCATTTGGAAAGTGTACGCTTTGTGAGGCCAATGCAACTAGTTCCGCAGGAACAAGTGAATTTATAAACACACATTGAAATAGCCCGGAAGGGCAGTTCATCATTCACACATCCATTGATCATTTGTTGGCTGTAGAAATTGATCCGTAGCTCAGCCGTAAAGAAGGCTTTTCTCAGTGATCTGCATAAGCGATTCTTCAGGATCTCAGCAGCGATACCATCTTTAAACTCAACGTTCATAAATAACAGTTTCTTCGGCACCGTCTGCGTTCTTTCGGGCTTTTGTTTTACCATCAAGTTTTTCTCGATAAATCTTGGAGGATATCCATTTTCCATGAGGACTTGTTTGAGTCTGTCCTGTTTCCCGTCTTTTGTATCACTAGTACAGGTCTTTTTTATTTCTGAGGATAAGGAGTGGATCAGATTTCTCTTCCCAAAGGGATCCAAACTACGAAAATTCGTGAATTTACCATTCCATATTGGTTTCCTGTAAATCGATATTTGAAGGGAACCGTCATATCTCCTTTTTAGAAAAACATGGAAAAAATGGAATTCTGAGTTCATCTCCGATTCCGATGCAAATTGGATGGCATGATGACGGTTGTTAAACTCCTTGATTGTCATTTCAATGTTGCCATTCTCGTTACATATGATAAAAGTATCATCCATATATCTTTGGTACATATGTGGTGAGAGATGGTTGCTAGCCAAATTGGTTGACAGTAATTGAGGTCAATGTTAGTCATGTGAAAACAAGGTCAAGATGGATAGGCGGATACAGTTAACATATAGATGAACTGACACAGCCACAAGGGATGCAAGGTTAAATTTGTGTGAGAAACAACCAATCAACAGACTGTATTTTCTACTAACATTAACCTACAATAATGTACATCAAAATCTATAAATATGTGTTGATTTTCCTTAATAAACGTTCTGTTGCCTGGCCCTTGTCTTCTGTTGTTACACATATAGAAACTATCGGGAGTCGGTGATAACAAAACTATTCTCTAGACTTGTCAAGGAGCAGTCTGCTAGTAAAGGACCCATTGCCACTCCATCTCTGTGTCTATACAGCGTGTTGTCGAACTTGAACTGGACATAAACAGTGCATCTCAATAGTAGTTCCTTTAAGTAGTGGATCGGAACACCCACGTCTACATTGTTATCCTCGATAAATTTGCATAAACAATTTTCTTCACTGAATTATCTTTTGTTATCTTCATGATTCAATGGGTATTTTTGGCAATTTGGTCATCTTCATAAATGTTCAGTAGGCTTTCTATGGTTTATGCAGTAGATTTTCACTTCATGTTATTGTCTTTATATCTGTACTGCTGTGTTCAGACTTAGTTAAAAATTTTCCAATATCTAAAAATAACTAAGTTTCATTACTACTTTGTTTCACGCTCATTAGCGTAACTTTGTTGAATGAATAATGTGTCTATAAATTGTCACATCATTTTGGGCTTTTTATTTCTAATAACTTTTAGTAAAAGTTCTTTTTAGAATATTGTAGCATCCGTAACTTTTAAAGCATTACAGTTGAGATGCGGAAAAAATTAGTATGCATTTGTATCATTCAAAACATGATTCCTAACAAAATGAATGAGATTTTTCAAGAAATTCAAAATGACATAATCCATTATTCTTTCGTTGTTTTTTCTTTCTTGCGGCAGCTAAAAAATCTAATTGTACTTACACATAACTAAATTTTCAAATGTCCTTAAACGTACTTGTTGAATTAATGCATATTTACACTTTTTGCCAAAGAACAGCTGATATCGTCTGTATTGTATTCCTACGCTGATGACTATATATATATATATATATAATTGTAGTATTGTTCATTGATCCAAAGGTGTAGTGCCTTTCATCAGGCTTTAACTGTAATTTGTATTTTATGCGAGACAGTACGTAGTTTGTGCCATTATACATTATGACTCTGTAAAGTATTTATTTGGATTCTAAGCTCATATTGTGGTGGTGTGATGCAGACAGTGTGTTCCAACGGAATATTATTCTCACGTATTCCCACAGTTAAATACTGCATTAGTAATAGAATACCATATATGTATATTGGAACAATGGATTTCATGTCGTTTAATATAAACCAAAATCACAAGCTCGGTGATTGGTTAAATAATATAAAATGTATATATATATATATATATATATATATATATGTTTGGTCAATTGAAAAATATACCTTGGCTTCTGTGTCTTGCCTTCTGCCGTTACAGTATGGCTTAATACACCCTAACTGGTGATGTGACTCATCTCCAGTTATCATCAGTCGCTAGTATATTTTGTGTCGCACATTTTGTTTGCATGTTGGTGACATTTACGATTATCTGAACATTTTAGGTTTCCAAAGTAAAAGTGTGCGATCCTGCTAGTGAATCATTTTATTCTATGCAGCGCCAATCCTCCCGATAGTTGACCAGAAATCGTTTGGTTTGAATTAATTCAGATATCTTAACTGAGTCAGTGTAGCTAAACTGTTGCTGAACTCGTCCGTAAACAATTTAAACGACAGTTTGATATCATTTTGTCAACCCCCACTTAGCTGGCAAGCATCGCTGGCGGAAGTGACTGCTCTCTAACCACCTACATGAATCAGTGTTATGTATTATGAGTGTATTATGAGTGCATATATGTATATATGCATATGGCAATATAGTTGCTCACTCATATAGCTATGCGTGTTTAGATTAATCTGTGTCTATGGTTGAAGATACTAATATTCAACATTTATATAAAGACATATCCTATCATATTGTTATTTTCGTCTCATGTTTGTTCATTGTTTTATCTGACGTTTTTTCTCTCTTCCAATACTAGTTTAATTCTGTCTGTACTTTATTTTCTCTCATTTAATTGTCAAAATCTAGCCAACTGAATTATGATAAACTTCAATCGGTGAATGATCGTACACAAGCTATCGTTGAACAATGGGATAATTTGGGACGATTATCAGAAATTCGTAGACAGAAAATTCATGTAAATCGCAAATAACAGTTATTTTTCTATTTTTTAAAATCACCATTGCCTTTGTTTTTTGTAAATTTCTTGTTGAATAAAAGAATAAAGCGTTTTTTTGGATGATGATTAATAAAGAAAAAAATGGTTAACAACCGACCCTATGATCGGTTAACTTCAGAACTACTGGTTTCCACCAATGAAAATGATTCACTGTTGTTACTGTCCAGTGAATCTAAGCTACCTCTAAGTATAAGATAACATAAACTGGAGTAAAAACGAGTAATTCGTTATATTTTATGACCAGGCAAACTTAGCCAACCAACGAAAGCAACAAAATCAGTTTAGGTAAATAGTTACTAATCTGGCCTTGATCAATTGCCACATATCTATTCTGAACGGTTTACATTCTTTCCTCTTTTGAGGTGTGTATCAATAATTCTACTAGGTAGTGTTTTCTACTTCAGTTTATTCGTAGTCAGTAACAGGACTGAATACTTACAAGCACCACTCACCACACGACCCATCTGGTGTCATTTATAATTAAGACCCCCGCCCCCCATTGTTTTCACTTATCAGATCATAGATCACGGCTGTCCATTAAGATCCCATGCTAGTGTCACTAGTATATCGATTCAATAACGTACCGGTTTGTAGCGTTCAACTTTCGTGTTTACAATTTATCTAGTGTTTTGGAAATTCTGATCATTTTTCTGTATAAGATGAATTTGCTTATCGTTTGAATCTCAAGGCATTTAAAATCAGTAAACATTGTGTTACAGTAATAAAATGTGTTCTTTCGACTATAGATTCTGTTTATTGATAATACTGTCAGTTTCTGTGTTAGTTATTCTTATAAAAATTTGTCAAGGTTACTTAAGAAGAATTTATTAGAGATGCTTGAGCGCTTTATCAGTCCAGTATGCTGTGCCTACCACCATTTTATATATTTAGAGATTTTCTCGACATACAGGCCTCTGGATCTGTGGTCAGCTTGAATATTAAAGCCTTACTCATTTTGGATTACATTGAAAGGTATTCAGACTGATTTATTTATCACTGCAAAATTTCGTCTCCACACGCAACCCCCTGATTTACACTTTTAGAGTGAAAACATTTCGTTATCAATCATTTAAAAGAAAACACAATCACAAATAATGTGCATGCACACAGACAATCTACCAGTAATATATATACATATATATATATATGTATATGTATATATATATCTTCAACATTTCAACGTCTTTTCCTAAAACTGCATCAAAATACCTAGTTAGTAGACATTCACTCTCAACTGTAAAACCGCATGTCAGAATTGGATTACTACTTTTTGAATTTTAGGGTGTTTTGTCCGTATTTTTGTACATAGTGAACTTGACAACGCAGAACTGTTTTGATTGGTTAGAAATTAAGATTAGTATATGTTCGCCTTCTTATGATATTATGATGTCAATCAGATTTTTATGGAAAAAAATACCTCACAGTTGGAGTGTTTATGTAAAATGTAATTATCAGTTAACCTTCATGAGATCAATGTGATTGATTGATGTTCACTTTACACTTCGTACAGAAAGAGAGATATCTATATATGCATGTCTGTAAAATGGCTTATCATATCACTCCTAAGATAAAGTTTCGAGAGTTTTCTGTTTATGACTAACGGTTATTTTGTTCACTTATTATTGTTAGTTAGCGAATACACTTAATTTCTCTCTGAATTTATTTTTTTGCAGGGCATTTTAGATTTATTGAGTCAAATTGATCATCTTCACCTGTCAATCGCTAAACGCATTGCAGTAAGTGCACAAGTGTTTTTGTCTTATTTTGTTCTAATCATTTTTGACAGCGTTTCTCGAATCTATAGTATGCTGTCCAAGATTTATGCATCACGCAGTTATTCGAATGCGAAAAAAGGTCGTTTTTATCACCAGCTGCTATCAGTGCAGTAAGCTTTCCAGTCCGCAAGACTTTGAACTGCTGTGTGACTGCTGGAGTTGATGATGGATTATCGATATGTATCTATGAATTTCTATTAGATCCCTCTCAACTGTTAAATCTAGCTATTGAGGTATATTGTATAAGACGAACCTTCTTTTCTAATGGATTTCTAATTGAATAATTTAATATTTTACCCAACTAAATAGAATGTCATTACACAAGTCTTGTAAAAAAATAGATATCAGTTAGTTAGTGCGTATTTGCCGAAATTCGGGAATAGTTTGCAATATGTATTTGGAGAGGTGTTACCGATATATTTCCTAAAAGTAGAACTACATTACCTAATAATAATATCAGCTTTATCTGGAAGTTATATCTAAACACAGTACAGAATTACTAGCCCCGTTCCATGCAAAATATATACTCCCTGTATAGAATATGTAAGCAAATATACATCGACACTGCATAGTATGACGCAAAATTACTCTATCTGAAACAAGACTCAATCCTCTACGAGATTTCGCCTTCATTTTCTTCTTGAGGTCCTGAGCTAGACGCAGAACGATTGCCCCTGTTAAGTTAAATAAACTAGAAAAATTCTCGGTTGTTGCATTTCATTCAGTTGTTTGTAGTCACACAATAGTTAGGTGGAGAAAGAGGTTAATCACTGAATTTTCAAGAGTCAGTTTGTAAGGATTTGATTTATATCAGTTTTGACCAGGAATTGATATCAGTTAGAGAACCATTGCAAACCAAGGAGTACTCGACAGTTGGTCCCATCGGCATTACACTCCCACTGGGATTCGAACCCATGAGATTCCAGTTACAAGGAAAGCTCGTAGACCATTCATCCACTGATGCCAGTCCGTAGTCAAAATTGAAACTAATCACTAAATCTTTGTTTATCGAGTCAACATCGCACACATTCAATCGGAATGATGCAACATCTATATCGGAGATGTGGAAAGTTGCAACAAACAATGATGGAAGGAGAAAGAAAAATATATCTAAGCCAAATTATGAAACCGTGTGACTATGTCAATATGATTATGAGTAATAGTATTAATAATGGTCATAAATTGTGCTCGTAACGTCATCCAGTTATTGATATTACATCACTGTATTAAATCAAGTAAATTTATCTAGTGTGGAACAGTAAAGCCACCTACGTTTTAGTGACCACACTTATTAAACCAAAGTATTTGATTATTACTCTTCTTTCAAGTATATTTTTCATAATGAAAATGTGTACGAAAATTGAGAGGAATATCTTAACCTACCATTTACTTTATGAACACTTAAAGTTCCTGATAATTCATAGCGTACGCCAAACCTGGTGCGTCGATGACATATTACTAGAATACTGGCCAACCCCTCACGTGGTTCCGCTTCGACCTCCGGTCGACGCACTCCTCCAACTCAGTGAGCCAGTAATAACACTGATAGAGAGGCAAGGTAGGGAATTGAACTAGCAACCTCATCACGTAAAACAGACACCACTGTTACCGGAACTATAAAACTAGTTGCAAGCCGTATGTTCCACTAGGAACGTCAAGGAATACAAAACGGCATAGCTGAACATCACAAGTGAAACATAAACATTAATCCCATAGTCTCATTTATTAATGAAAATATTCAGTTACCTCCTTTATCCTCTAAAATCTATTTCCAAAGATGGTTTATTGAACAAAGAATATTCTTTTCAATAACTTCATCATCAGGTTCTGCAGTTATATATCCATAATAATGAAAGAATGATTGTTATTGACAAAATTAGTGGTTTTCAAAAAGAGTAACGTGGAATCATTTAGGTCAGAATTTCAAAAGTTATTTACAATTAGATTGTTAATAGATTATAGTCCAAAATATATGTATGTGGTAATATGTAAACTTGTAATACTAAATTGAACACCAATATTACAAAGTAAATGATTATAAATGACAACGAATATATAGTAATAAATTCTCCTGAGTCATGTTCATATTAAGTTCCATTCATATTGATTATAAACTTCAGATGTTAAAGTGATTATGTCAAGGTCGGGGGTAGGGAGAAAGGGGTTTTTGTGCTTGAATTTTATGTGCTTGTATGTGTGTTTTGGCGTTCACTCGCCGGTAATCACCAGCGGGTTGCCAATCGTTGCTATCCTTTTTCGGTACCATATGCAGTGGGGATGCCCATGGGCTATTCGATCGCCGAATGATGCCAAGGGTGAGTATATGGTCGAATTCATTTCTAGCGAGTCGTAGTTTGTCAGGAGCAAGTCGTCGTATTTTAGATGTCACGGGTTGTCCGGAGGTTGTGATGTGATGCATAACATTACTGGTTATGCAGGACAGATCGTTAGACGAACATTTAAGTTCCGGGTACTTATCAACAATCAGCTGGAAAGTTCGATCAAAAATTACCTTCTTCTTAACGAGTGATAAGCTATGGCCTACGTAGGTGATGCCTTTAATAGACAGTCTAGTAGTACCGTCTATCAGTCGTTTTCAGTGGACATCTACGAGTAAATCATGATGGTTTAAGTAGTTCCGTGCCAATAATGGGCATTGTGACGTCAGCGAGAAGGAAAATTCACTGAATTGGTTTGCGTAAACTTATGTTCAGATAGACGTATTTCCTACCGAAGGTTGCAATGGGTTCCCCATTCCCAGCCTGTAAGTTGAAGGTAGGTTCCTTCTGTTGATCTGCTGCTGCAGCAGGAAGGACGCTGACTTGGGCGCCTGTGTCGACTAAGTACTGGATGTGGTTGACCGAATCACGGGGCTATGGTAGGCGACTAGTACCACTGGCTACGGTTGAAGCTAACCCGTGCCGGTGGGATAGTTTCCCATAGTCTTAGATACATTGCCAAAATTACAAGCTGTTCTGCAACATTTCGCTTCCTACTAAAACCATCATGATTTACTCGTAGATGTCCACCGAAAACGACTGATAGACGGTACTACTAGACTGTCTATTAAAGGCATCACCTACGTAGGCCATAGCTTATCACTCGTTAAGAAGGTAACTTTTGATCGAACTTTCCAGCTGATTGTTGATAAGTACCCGGAACTTAAATGTTCGTCTAACGATCTGTCCTGCATAACCAGTAATGTTATGCATCACATCACAACCTCCGGACAACCCGTGACATCTAAAATACGACGACTTGCTCCTGACAAACTACGACTCGCTAGAAATGAATTCGACCATATACTCACCCTTGGCATCATTCGGCGATCGAATAGCCCATGGGCATCCCCACTGCATATGGTACCGAAAAAGGATAGCAACGATTGGCAACCCGCTGGTGATTACCGGCGAGTGAACGCCAAAACAACCCCTGATTGTCATCCATTGCCTCACATACACGACTTGATGGCAACATTATCTGGCTCAACTATATTCTCTAAAATGGACTTGGTTAAAGCGTATAGCCAAATCCCGATGGCACTAGAAAATATTCCGAAAACGGCTATCATTACACCTTTCGAACTTTTTGGATTTCTACGTATGCCATTCGGTCTCCGGAATACAGCACAAACATTCCGATGCTTCACCGACGAAGTATTTCGCGGTCTCGACTTTGTATATGAATACTTAGACGACTGCCTCATTGCCAGTCCAGACAAGGAAACTCACCTTAGACACCTGGACTTGACATTTGAAAGGTTACGCCTACATGGTGTTACCATTAATATTCAAAGTGTCAGATAGGCGTTGACTCACTCGACTTTCTGGGCCACACCATTGACTGCAAGGATATTCGCCTACTGTGAACTGTGAACGTTGGTCAGTTAACCCTTGTTCACTGAAATCAGACTCGGCTATTTGAAACCATGATTCCACATTATCTGGGCAAAATAGCACGAGCTAAGTAGTTTTGCTAGTTGGTTGAATACGGACGACCTTAGGCGTATGGTCACTCATGGCGAAATACATATACTTTAAAAATAGTACAAGAACAAATAAAAAATGGAACGAACTCACCGGATTTGCCTGTGTGTTTACCAAAGATGAAGTTCGCGATAGGGCTCACCAATTTAGAAGCTGAGGGTATTGACGTTCACGAATAGTACCAAGTATACCAACGCAATATCTAATACCCACAACTTCTATAGTATTTGTTCCACGTAGACCAAAGGCAAAACAAAACAGAATTGATCGTCCAAATTACAAATTATATTTAGGGACCAAATCGGAGTGCGAGATGATTGCTTAACTAGTTAGGGATGGTGCACGAACGAACAAACGTAACACGATGGCGTAGATGCTTGACCGTAAGCCTTCAGCTAAACAAATCGACTTAAACAGTGAAGGTCAGCATCCAATGTTCATTGAAGAATGATGTGGCTAATAATTCTGGGGAATCACCTACCGCTACAGGTCCCATATTGGCAGATTTCTTTCTAAGCATACTAGGGAATGGTCCTTTGAACAACCTCATCATAAAATTCTCATTTTCTTGCCGGTATATGGATGACACCTTTATTCTTTGTGATAATGATTCTGATAGGAACACAATAATAACTCAATTCAATGCAGTACATTCTGCTATGAAATTCACGTGCGAAGAGAAATCCGAAAATAGAATTGCCTTCCTAGGTGCCAATATTGAAGAGTCCTCCATCATCTATCGGGTACCAAACAAATTGCCAAAAACATCCAGGTACCGCATACCCCAAACAGCAGAGGCTATCGCGATTCGCCTGAGGCAACCGATGCTCTGTGTGTAGAAGAAGTAGGTCCAACCACCATTACTGTCCTGGCCTGCTGTGGAGTTAGCAAATTCATAGATACCTCATTACATCGACCTTTTTGGTATGGCCCTCCATCCTGTACATAGAAATTCTCCTACCCCTTGTCATTACA